ACGACTACTACGACTACTACGACCACGACAACGACGACCGATTTCTCATTACAGTGTTCATAATCAGCACGCCGCTAGCGTTCAGATGTTCATGATGTCCTTTATGCCGAAGTTGGTAATGGTGCTGTTGTATGGTTGGCGATGATAAAGGTTCCGATGTGTTCTGGGACTGATTTTGGTGGTGATGAACCCTAAACCCTGAAACCCTAAACCCTAAACCATGATGGTGATGTCGACTCCTCGGTTTCTGGTTAGGATGGGGTTCAATGCACGGTTGTCTTCGCACTGCCACCTCGGTCACTGGCTACTGTTATTTCCTGGTTCCTGTATTAGCGCGTTCTTCTCCGTATTGTTTCCAGCACTTTGTTTTTCTAAAGTGCTGCTGATGTTTGTCATTTCCCTAGTCTTTTGAATTGCGCGGTGCTATTGGTTTTTTAATCGTAGACATGTGCATGCATGCATATTTGTGTGTCCGTTTTATCTGTTAACGATCACGTCGTTCCATCTCATGACCAGGAGTCCAGAACCAACGCCATCGAGGAGTCCAAGATCAGAGCTGTGACGGAGCCCAGGATTACTGTCACTGACGATTCTGCAAGCAAAACTGCAGCGCCCGGAATCAAAGCCATTGAGGAGGCAAAGGTGCCGCCGACCAATGGCAACAATATCAGAGCATTTCAGGACAGGCACGAAATCCCTAAACACAAAACCCAAAAGTCCCAAATTCCTAAAACCTCAGACCCTAAACTCCTGGACCCTAAACCCAAAGCCCAAAAGTTAGACACTACATAAACACTACACAAACCTTAAATCTTAATCCCTGAGCCCCTAAAAGCATGTCTTATATAAGCCTTAGAGCAATCTTTATGGAACCCTAAACGGAACCCCGTTCCCAAGCCACAAGCCCTAAGCCCTAAACCCCTAAACCTCTAAACCCCTAAGCCCCTAACTCTAAACCCTAACCCCTAGACCCCTAAACCGTGCAGGACCGGAAGACCGAGCAAGAACCCGCTAAGGCGCCGGCCGAAGGACCGATTCACTGTTAATATGGGGGCCTTAGCAAGGAGCATAGAGTTCCTTTGAAGCGTTCCTTTAGGGGTCCTTCAAGGGTTATTTGAAGGGCTCGTTTAAAGGGTTTCTTGTAAAGGGTTCCTTCAATTGTCCGTTTACGGGTCCTTGTTTAAGGGGTTCCCTTAAGTATTCCTTTAACAGGTTCCTTTTAGGGTTCCTTGAAAAGGTTATTCAAAAGGGTTCCGACAAATCTAAGGCCACAAACGACCCAAGCCCCAGACCTTAAGTAGTCACGCCCAAAACCCCGAACCCCGAACCCTGAGCCCTAAACCCTAAACCCTGAGCTCTGAACCCTAAACCCTAAACCCTAAACCCAAAGCCCTTTCAGAGGAAAGATATCCACAGCCATGGCTTGGCTAAATGGCGGAGATACGCAAGAAGAGGAGCCGGAACCTGGGCGGAGTTCTGCTAGGATGGAGTTTGGGGTTTAGGGTTTAGGGTTTAGGGTTTAGGGATTCAGTTTGGGGATTAGCGCTTGGGTAGTTCTCTACAAGAACTACTTAAAGGATCAGGGGACTTAGTAAGTAGGGTTATAATTAAGGTAACTATACTTCTATTTACTTATAACCCCGATTAAGGGACTTATAACCTTACTTACTAAGTCCCATGATCCTCCAAGTAGGGTTGAGGGTTTAGTGCTTAGCCTCCCACCCGAGCATTACGACACGCTGCGCTCACACAGCTTCCTTCCGTACGGCGATTCCAAATGGCTCCTCCAGCCCGGAATTCGCACGCGCTTTCGTCATGCACAGAGGATCCATGACGTCCACTCCAACCCCACGCGTGCCCGCGGAGCATCCATACCCGGATCGTGATAACGATAACGTCCACTCCGACCTCATGCGTCCTTGCAGACGAACCCCGGCAACCCGAGCTTTGGACATCACGTCGAAGAGTTCCTCGTGGTGTTTCTTTCCGGAAAGGAAGGGCTACGAGGGTTAATTTATAAGGAAAGTTTAGAGGTGTAGTATAAGGGGCGTATACCCCTAAACCCTAAACCCTAAACCCTAAACCCTAAACCCTAAACCCTAAACCCTAAACCTACCATGGACTCCGAGCGGCCAAGGCTCCCCAAAACTGTGCAATCGACAGCAGTTCCGGGGTTCCAACCTGGTGTTCATGTTACGACATCCGTGTCAGGGTTTAGGGTTTGGGGTTTGGGGTTTGGGGTTTAGGGTTTAGGGTTTAGGGTTTAGGGTTTAGGGTTCAGGGTTTGGGGTTTAGGGTTTAGGGTTCAGGGTCCAGCGTTGCTACAATTTCGGGCGTTCTCTTGCAAGACCATTAACACAGAACAGAAGAGGACTATGGCAATTCGGCTTCTGCAGGCCCTAGACCCAACACAATAAATCCGAAAGCCGAAACCCTAAACCCTAAACACTGTCTGAGTGAGCTTGGCGCTTTGTGAGCTAGTTCACTGCTGTGCTTGTCTTGGGGTGTCTCTCCCCTCTGGTGTAAGCCTCGATGAGGCAGGCAAGATGCGCTAACAGTGTGAAAGGCCGTTGCACCTTAAAAAACAAAGCCCTAAACCCAAAGCCCTGAACCCTAAACCCTAAACCCTAAACCCGAAACCCTAAACCCTAAACCCAAAGCCTTGAAAGCCACAAACACAAACCTGACCCCAAGTAATCCCCAAAGCCCGGAAAGCCTAAGCTCCGGAACCCGCCATCCGGAAGCCCGGTCGGAGCAAGTAATAGAGGGTTTAGGGTTTAGGGTTTACAGGGTTCAGGGTTTAGGATTTGGGGTTTGGGGTTTAGGGTTTAGGATTTCGAGTTTAGGGTTTATTCTTAGGGTTTAGGGTTTGGGGAGGATAGGGGTCGGAAGAAGTAGTAAATATTACAAGGGATACAGCACATTATAGCCTTTCATCGTCCCTACGTTATGGTAGTATATGAAGTTCTACCCCGCAAACCCAGATTCCCTAAACCCTAAACCC